CGTAGGAGTAGGAGTAGTACCCTTACAAATGAGTACTACTACTACTACTACTACTACTACTACTACTACTACTACTACTACTACTACTATAGGTATCACTACTACTACTACCACTACGACGACTACGGCTACGACTACGACTACTACTACGACTACTACGACTACTACTACTACTACTACTACTACTACTACTACTACTACTACTATTACACCTCATCCTACTACTACTACTACCACTACTACTAGTAATACAGCTGCACTACTTTGAGTATTAGTAGTCGTAGCAGTAGCAGTAGTAGTACTAGTCGCAGTAGTAGTAGTAGTAGTAGTAGTAGTAGTAGGTGTAGCGGTAGTAGTAGGAATAGTCGTAGTAGTAGTAGTAGTAGTAGTAGTAATTGTTGTTGGCAGACGAGTAGTAGTAGCAGTAGTAGTAGTAGTAGTCGTACTAGTAGTAGTAGTAGTAGTAGTAGCCGTCGTAGTAGTAGTAGTAGTAGTCGTAGTCGTAGTCGTAGTAGTAGTAGTAGTAGTAGTAGTAGTAGAAGTAGTAGTAGTAGTAGTAGTCGTAGTAGTAGTAGTAGTAGTAGTAGTAGTAGTAGTAGTACTAGTAGTAGTAGTCGTAGTAGTAGTAGTAGTACTAGTAGTACTAGTAGTCGTAGTAGTAGTAGTCGTAGTAGTAGTAGTAGTAGTAGTAGTAGTAGTAGTAGTAGTAGTAGTAGCAGTAATAGCAGTAGTAGTATAGTAGTAGAAGTGGTAAGAAGTAGTAGAAATAGAAGTCGGAATAACAGCCCGAGTACAATTTGGAGGAGGAGTCGCAGTACGACGTCAACGACGACGATGTCGACGCCGGCGACGACGACCACGGCGGCGATGGCATACTCTCTGATTAAGGTCCAGAGTCTGCAACCCTCAATTCGTTCCCGGAGAAAATCTACATTTGCCCGTATTCGGGGGCGTGCTAGAATCGCTTGTTTTTGCGATTATCCATCCAGCGCGCGGGGCGCCCACGTGTTGCCTATGGGCGGCAACCGACAGGGCACCAGGCGAAACGTCGGCACACCCGCCCAGTGCACGGGTCGCCCACGAGGCGTCCATGGATGTTAATCGACAGGTAGCCAGCACGGGTGTTTCGGGTCGTGGCTGGGCCCAGTGGCGTCGCCTTCGGTGCCGCCATTGGGGCGCTCAGCGCGCGAGTCGAGGGTGGTCCAGCGGCGACCCACGAGTATCGCGCGAAGCTTCGAATTTCGGTGTTTGCGTGTTTCGCACTCCGTTTATATTCATGCTAGCCGCACCCCTCCTTTCTCCCCCGCCCTCGCCCTCCCTGGTGCACGGGTCTGACGAAAGGAGGGTGCGGAAAGCTGGTTTATGTTGCTGGTTTCGGCCACGCAATTGGGCGTCTGCCTCGACGCACTGGCGCTTCTGGCGCCAGGAAAGCCAGTCAAGTGAGCTGAACCGCAAACCCCCTTTCACTCACCCTCCCCCTTTCGCCCTCGCATGCCCCCTCTAACATTTCCGACGTCGTAATTTTGTCGCGACATGGACCCCAGTGGTCTGGAACTCTTCCCTGGGGTCGGGCTGCTCATTCCGAGCAGTGGTTTGACGGCCCAGGGCCCTCCCGCAAGGGCCCCCGCAGCTCGAAGGCTGCAGCAGCCGGTTCGCTGTGCTTCTTCCACGGCTCGAGGCGGGGCTGGGTCCGCCGCCGGCCGGCGACGCCCACGAGGCGTGGGACGAGCGGGCACGGCGTCCTGAGAGGGCGGGGGGTGGGGCCTCCGAGAAGACAGTGGGAAGGCAGGCGCCTTCTCAGAGGCCCGCTCCCCTCGCGCCAGCCCCCCTGCGGGCGCCGCCAGCCTCCCCCCCCCCTCTCTCCCCTTCCCCTTCCTTTGGGGGTCA